TTCTGAAGCGTTCGAAGGTCTCAAGCAAACACTGGGCAACGTCACAAAATCAGCTTTCATTTCTCCAGATGCACCACTAGTACTTACCACTGACGCTTCCACTACCAGTATTGGTGCCTCGCTGGAACAGATAGAAAATGACATTAACAAACCTATTGCATTTTTCTCTCGGGCGTTGAGTGACACGGAAAAGCGATATAGCACGTACGACCGTGAACTATTAGCCATATATGCAGCCATCAGATATTTTCGAGACATGCTAGAGTGTCGTCACTTCATCATACGGACTGATCACAAGCCCATCACCTATGCTTTCACACAAAAATCTGAAAAAGCATCAGAACGTCAATTACGCCAACTTGACTATATTTCACAATATAGTACTGACATCATTTACGTAGAAGGTGAGAAAAATGTTGTAGCTGACGCTCTTTCACGTATTTCTACCATCAAGATGCCAACAGTACTAGACCCAGAGACCATACAACTCGCTCAGCAAAATGATGATAAATTACAAGATCTGATTCAAAGTGATACATCATTAAATCTACAGAAACTTACCATCAAGCCAAACCTCAATGTGTATTGTGACATTTCTCATGGCATAGTTCGTCCTTATCTACCCAAATCACTTCGCAAAGAAGCATTCGATGTCATTCACAATGTTTCACATCCAAGTCGTCGTGAAACATCACACCAAATTCGCGAGAAGTTTGTCTGGCCAAACATAAAAAAAGATACTATTAAATGGGCCAAAGAATGCTTAGCCTGCCAGAAATCCAAGGTCATTCGCCATACGAGATTAATCCCTAACCATATTGACGTTCCGGATACAAGATTTAACCACATCCACATAGATCTCATAACACTTCCACCAGTACAGGATTACAGGTATTGTTTAACGATAATTGATCGTTTCACACGTTGGCCAGTGGCTGTGCCGTTGAAAAATATGACAGCTGAAACTGTAGCTACTGCTATGTTCAACCATTGGATTTCCAACTTTGGGACACCCATCAAAATAACTACTGATCAAGGCTCACAATTCGAGTCACAAATTTTTCAAGCCATGTTAAATCTAATTGGAGCAAAAAGAAAACGCTCTACTGCCTATCATCCTCAATCCAATGGGATGGTAGAGAGACTCCATAGAACATTGAAAGCAGCATTAATGTGTTCTCCTAAGCCTTGGGTGGAGATTCTACCAACAGTTCTACTTGGTCTAAGAACGAGTTTTAAGGAAGATTTAAGAGCTACACCGGCTGAAATGGTATACGGTACGACTCTCAGGATTCCAGGAGAATTTTTTGTGTCTGAAGACCTAACACCTGATCCTCAACTCTTTGTTGAAAAACACCGCGAATTTATGAGAGGTCTACGTCCGGTACCAACAGCTCATCATGTGAAATCCCGCATTTTCATTCTTCAAGACTTATATACATGTTCTCACGTGTTTGTTCGGTGTGACCATGTTAAGGCACCCCTGGAAGCACCTTACATGGGTCCGTTCGAAGTTGTGGAGAGAGTAACAGATCGAGTCTTCAAAATCAATGTAAATGGGACACACCAAAATATCGCAGTTGACAGACTGAAGCCGGGTTACATAAGTAAAAGTGATGAAGATAGTGATGAGGGCAATCAGCCGGATCAACCTCACAAAAAATTCAGTGCAACAATTCCACCTGCAAAAGCTCAACCATCAAAAGCAATAAATGAATCAGAATCTCAAGACAACAGTGAAGATAAATCAACTAGTGAAAGTCAAGGAAAAAGTCAACTTCCAGGCAGTAAAGTGAATTCAAGACAGACATTAGACACTCCCAATAGTGACGATCAAGGATTATCTGAGATGATGGAACCACATCATTGGAGCTCGCAGATGATAAAGCCAAAAAGAACCTACCAAAGAAAGAAAGTAACTTTTAAACAACCCGCAGAAAGTTACTTAGGGGGGAATGGCTGTGGCAACCTGCGCCGGCAAGCTGCAGCGCCACAAGCGGTCAAGCCGGGAACCCGAAGACTGGATAATTTAATACAACAGTTGGCAAGTGCTCTACACAAGATTCCACAGCTGTAGTGGTTAAAGCATATTATTCTAATTCCTTTTGTTCTATTATTCAATTGCTTAACATTTATGTATTGTTTGTTTATTTAAATAATAAATAGTTCTAATTAATGATAATTCTCCTCCTTCTCATTGTATGTCAATATACCTCATTGACTACACAGATGACCTCAGTCATTCATATTGAAAAAATGCTCAATCCGTATCCAGAACTGATGGTGCCCTGCATTTTGGTGAGTAATTTGTATATGAGTGTGTACGGGTAATATATGTATGTGATGTAAACATAGTGTATCGCTTTACAATGCCTTATACTTTGATGACTATTGCAGTTAGAATAAATGAAAATGATGATACTCATTTAACATTAATTAATATAATACCTGCAAATAACTTCAAATACATATATTCATCCATTATTATCATTTTTATTAGGTATAAATGTTAATAAGGAAGCTCAATTCCAAGTCGGCGTATCCAAGCATGTAGTGTAAAAACAAATACACATAAACTCAATACCGAGATTATGCTGGCCATGTGGTTAGAGCGTCAGAGTTCTATTTTGCCGGGCAGGGTTCGATCCCAGTCATAATCACTTTTTTTCTACTTTATTCGTTAGATTAGCATGTAATTATAATATTGACATGCCATAATTAATCCATTATAATGATTTGATTTTTTTTTCTCTTTACTCATTGAATTTATTGACACTAAGTCGGAAAATATTTGAACAGAGCCATAAACTTTTTTTTTGTATAAATACATTGAGAATAGCCTGTGTTTAACAACTTATACATCTTTACATGCAATGTTATGTTATTAACATGTTATTAACAAGTTAATCATATTATTATTAACATTGAAAAGTAGTTTAAACAATCTGTGGCGAGTTTCGGCACTTTCCCGGCAAGCTCTACCCCCACTCTCTGTGCCCAAGCCTGTAGCTTATAATTTTCAAGCATCTTTAATGTTATTGAAACCATAATAGCTCAGTGGTTAGAGCAACGATTTTTTATTTTGCTGACCAGGGTTCGATCCCAGTCGTAAGCAATTTTTTTTTCTTTTTATTGTTTGAGTGACTTTATATACTTATAAATTAATTTTTAATTTAATAAAATAAAAAATATGAAAAAATACAGTTATTAGTTTAATTTACTATTTATTATTAATCATTATAATTTTTTTATAATTATAAAAAATAAAAATATTTATTTGTAGACGATCCCGAGCTTCGCCCTCTGCCTCGCCCTCTTCCACGACCGTGGCCGCGGCCGCGCTGCTCGGCATCATTCCTCGGTGGACCGGAATTTCGCCGTTGCTGGAACCATTGGTTTCGCTTTCGCCCGCCATTTTGATGGCGACGTGCCGGTGCTGGCGGTATCAGTGGTGCCGGTGCCGACGGCATCGGTGGTGCCGTTGCTGGCGGCATTGGTGATGGCGTTGGTGGTGTTGGCGGCAGCGGGGGAGGAGGCGGGGGTGGAGCCAACAGGAACGGCTCATCAATAAGTTCTAGCTGGGCCCGGAGGTTTTGCAGCCGGGCCTCTGAAGCCCTCATCTCCTCTTGGATTACTTTTCTTAAATCTGTGAAATGAAAATCATCAAACCCATCAGATTACATTTGAAACAAAATGTTATTTTTTCTATTTACAGTCATAAAATACGACGTGTATTGTTAAGTGACAAATTTAAATTATAATAATAAATAACTATTAATAGTTGTTTATCAATATAATTCTCATTTGTTGCTTAACAATATGATTAGTATTGTTGATTGTAAATAGAAAAAAAAAAATTTGGTTTAAATGTAATCTGATGTGTTTGATGGTGTTATGATATACAAAATAAAATATTAACTTACCGTATATATTTTGTATCCCTCGATCCATCTTTGTATCTGAAAAAAAGTTTTATATATTAATTATTGCATTATTCACAACAAAAACTGAATAATTCAAAAAAATTTCTCGTGCACTTACCTCAAAACTTATTGCGATAATGGCTACGTTAAAACTAATATTGATAAATCTCATTGATTCGCTTTCATTTGTTTTACGGACACATGTTTACACCCTTCAATTTACACGTGTTTTTCCGCGCAGGATGCCTCAGATGATCACTTAATACAATACCGTTGATTATCGTACATCCTACTGTATCGACCATAAGTCTTCATGAGAATTCGTGCAATCCTACACTGAGAAAATTTTTATGATTTCTGTAACGTATACTTACTGCAAGTATAAAGCATACTTATGTAAAGAGTATATTTGTTACTTGGTTACAAGTATATTCTATATCAATCTCTAGAATAAAATTTAACGTTAGATAGGGACAAATTTACTGTGCCGTAGCACATAGTCGACTTGACATAAGCAATTATATTAACTCCCGTCGATAATGTAGTTTTCTGAACCGATAATATTATTTACTTATCACAAGTATATTGATTACATGAAGCTGAAATATTGTATATTTGATTGTGGTATACCTGATATATCTATCTTTTTAGACCACTTTGATTATAAATTGTAAGTTGTATACATATTTTTAAAAGATATGTATATTGAAATAATTTGTTAAACTGAATAAAGAGGTACATACTATAGTATAGTCGGACTGAGAAGAGAGTTTGGGACTATATCTATACACAATTTATGAGAAGACTTCTTTACCGAAAAATTATGTACCGGATATGGGGTATCTTATTTAGTTTAATATTTCAACGCAATGAGTGCTGTAATGTTTTATATTTTCCAACAGTGATTTCTCTCTATTAATTACGGTAGTTGTGTATTGTAGGTGTGAATTGCTAGTGTGTCATTGGCATGACGATTTATTATTATTATTTGTATTCTTGTGATTACAGTAGAGGCTTTGTTTTTATTTTAAAAGTGTCATTATATTAAAAATACTATTTTTATTCAACATAATGAAACATTTAGTTGCAGAAATATTAATATTAAGTGTAATATATATATATAGCTTAATCTAGTAATCAAAATACAGTGTAATATCAATAATTTGAGGTTATCAAGCCGGTCAAATATTTTTAATAAAAGTTTGTAAAAAATATACATATTAATATTGAGTGTAAGTCACGAAATTGGTGAAGAATTTTCTTTCTTTTTTTAGAATGCTGGTATGTGGTCTGAGGCAATACGTATTTGGAGAGAGTACTTACCAAGTCAAGAAGCAGCTTTACGTCGTGAGTTAACACAAAAAAGCATTGGAAATGATAGCACACAAACTCTGAAAGAAGCTGGATGTTGGTTAAAAGTTGGTGAAATCCGTACAGCATTAGATATATTAATTTCAGATACATCTCATTCAGTTCTTATACAAACAGCTAACATTGTGCTTAATCAATCTGATCCAGATACCGCTTCACAAGTTGCTACAGAATTAAGATGGTATAAGCATTATAGCTTACAAGATCAATACGTCAGGCAAAGAAGAAGGTTTTGGTCAGTCTATTTTACACTACGGTCAATTAGTATTTCATGCTTCTCCATATAGTCTTCAGGATGTATTTAGCTGTATGGTAACAGCTAAATTTATACATGTACTTCAAAAAGATGTATTTCGAGCTCTTTGTAAATTATCTATGAAACCTCCACCAGATGGAACATCTGATCCCAAGTAAGAATGCTTTTAGTCATTTAACTAAATAATGAAATTAACAAATTTATCTTTCATTTATCATTTTTATTTTTCAGATCACATGAATTAAGATCTAAAATATTATCGTTACAATTACTATTAGGCATTTTACAAAATGCTGGACCAATCTTACGATCAATTAAAATGTTTGTTATTACAATTAAACAATACTTGTGTGTTGCATTATCTAAAAATGGTGTATTATCCGTTCCAAAAGTATTTGAATTATCTTTGACAGTGTTTCTTACGTTATTAACAAAATTTAAAATACATTTAAAGAGGCAAATAGAAGTATTTTTTGAAGAAATATTTATGAATATATTAGAAACATCAACTAGTTCATTTGAACATAAGCGTATTCGTGGAGATACTCAAAGTGGTGTAGATATATACGTAAATTATGATCATGACTTTTTGGCTGCTAATTTATTTGAGCGACTTGTTAATAATTAACGTCGGCTACTAGGTCCTCCATGCAAGCTAAATTTTCCATTACCACTGAATAATTTTACAAATCTCACATATAATTTTGATCGAGTGGGATGCAGTCCAAGCCAAAATATTGCATTTTTTGCAGTTGATTCTCTTCGACAGCTTGCAACTAAATTGATTGAAAAAGGAGAATTTGTAAATTTTAGGTTTCAAAAAGAATTTTATAAACCGTTTGAATATATTATAAAGAAGAATAGATCTCCAGTAATACGTGATATGGTTATGAGATGTGTAGTTCAAATAATACATTCTCAAGCACCTAAGATCCGTTCGGGATGAAAGAATATTTTCAGTGTTTTTCATCATGCAGCTAGTGATCAGCTTTGAATCAACTATTGATGATCGATCATGGGTAATAATGGAAAAAAAAACACCATAATTACCATGAAATTAAAGAGTGTTATTTATATTTTTTAAATTATGTACATTTTTTTCAGGTAAGAGGTTGGTTTCCATTATTATTCAAACTTTCTTGTGATGTTAGTAGATATAAGCTTGACGTGAGAACTCGTGCGCTTACGATATTATTCGATGTTGTAAAAACATATGGTGCTTCGTTTAAACCTCGTTGGTGGAAAGATTTGTTTCAAGTACTTTTTAGAATTTTTGATAATATTTTTAAAAGTACTTTACCATCAATTTTACTCACTTGGAAACCATCCATAATAAATAAAAAATCAGATCTTGAAACGATAACAAGAGAAAGTGTAGATCCACCGCTTGATCCATCATTACCAAGATATAGAAGTGCTGGAAGTCTTTTATGTTTAATAGAAAGCCTAGTAAGAGGATACAATATCTTCAAGAACAAGGTTTTTTTGGGAGTTCTCCTGATGACGTTGCACGTTTCCTTCACAATGATGAACGATTAGATAAAACAGCGATTGGAGATTTCTTAGGATATCACAATCATAATCAAGTTATGTATAATAATTAATGTAGTTAACTACATTGTTCAAATGGATTTTGCTAATAGAGATTTAGTTACAGTATTTAATACAAAATTACTTATTGAAACAAATCGATAAATAAGATTTAGAAATAAATTTAGTATCATTAAAGAGAAAAAATTGTATAATTATTATAGGAAATGATAAGCAAAACGATAGACAATCCTAAAAAAAGCAATAAATATATTTAAATATCCCATAAAAATTGTAACTTGTTTTTCAAACAATTCTTTATTATTTACATCACGGTTTGTACAAAATTTTTTATATAAAATATATGTTTATTAAAGGAATTCTACTCAAAACTAAAATATAAATAAAAATAAAAAAGAATAACAATTAACATTTTATAATTTAAAGGTCTACAATTTAATGAAATCATCAAAAAATGTTTTTCTGTTTATATTATATTGCACTTTATATTATACACATATTTTTATTAACCATGTTTACTGCGTGAAATCAAGATTGATATTATTTTGTAAAAATTATACTTATATAATAATTATCATTTACATTTTTTATGAATTACTTTTTTTTTAATCATTTGTATATATAATTATTTTATTATTTACACAGGAAAATTGAATAAATTTAGTTGATATTATTTATATTTTTTAATTATACATGAATACAAATTATTATTCATACTCCGTATGAATTTTTAAATTAATATTATATTATAATTTTTTTTTTTTATCATTATTAACGTAAAAAGGACATAAACCGTTCATTCGCTCATGTACATATTGGGAGTATACCTATATATTCATTCGCTCATGTACATATTGGGAGTATACCTATATATATATCGGAGAAAAATTGTGGCCACGAGAGAGAGGTCCGCGTTAGATGGCATTTAAGTAAGACGGACATAGAAGACGCTAGAAATCGAACTGAAATGTGCGGAAAACGGAATTAGGGGCGTGGCCTATTCTGTATCTCGATAAATACTCAATGAATGAAATTGATTTTGGAATTAAATAAAAGCCAATGACTATAATTGATCGTATATTAAAAATTATCTCGTAATATTACTTAGTTATCGAGATATTTACAATTAAAGATTGTGTTGTGACGTCACGCGCGAACTTTTCAGTATAGAGTAGCGTGTTACTCGGCACTGTAATTGTGAGCCGCGAGAGCGCGCTAGTTGGACGAAGGGTAATAGTTGGGTAAGGAGCAAAAGTGCAGGTGACATGGCGCCGAGTATCTACCGCTACTCTAGATACTTAACCATGAAAATTGATGCTGCTTAATACAAAATCATAACATACCGTTTGGTTAATCGAAAAAGTCTACCGGTTCTTTTCAACTGAATCCTTATTCCTTATAACACAATGTTTGCTTAGTTAACGATCTATTCGCCGAAAATTCAAATTTTTTTGATAACTCTTTGGTTCATTTTTTATAATAAATTTAATTCTAGTTAATAGCTATTGTATATGAGGGTATACTTTGCTACACAAAATTTAACAATGTTCTTGCAATTAAAGGTTAGTTTATTTCTAAACAATGAATACAAGCATATAGTTTTTGATTAAATGTTTATAAGCAATATTATAATATCGACGTAGAGCCCGGTTGTAAATACCAGTTGTTAACAGTCAAAATAATTTTAAGTAAGGCAACGCTTTCTTCTGTTAGTTTTAGAGGCATTAATCAATTATGAACACTGAATATTGTTGTTTTATATTCCGATTTGTCTTATGTTATGCTGATTTTTCAAGATATTCCAGATTTCTACTCCAATACAGCTGTTATGCATAAGATGTTGGTGTTGTAAGATCTTCATTAATTTCTTCCATTTCTTTCCGATTATTTGAGCGTTAAGTTATTGCGTCATAAATCACTTTTTCGAGGAATACTTCTAAAACTTCACAAGTGTCTTCAAAGGTTCATCCAGAAATATGTTTAACACCACCTCGAATGGCGAAAGGATGGATTGCAGGTTTCATGATATGCTAGATGTTGTCCTTTTCCTCCCTTTCCACGTCCAGTCATAATGAATTACTAAAAGTTATCTTTGTAGTAACCTCAAAACAAGACAGAAAGACTAGTACTGATTTTTGTTGAATAATTTACGAAGAGAATAAAGAGTGTGGCGATGTCAGAATCTTGGTCTAATATCAATATTGTTTAGGCACTATAGAGTATCATTAGGAAAATTGTACTAATTTATTGTATTCTTTATAATTCGTATTCACTTCATGTCTTCACATTGTTACTGTATATCATTGCTGACGAGATGAAATTGACGTTGACTCATCGATATGCGTGAAGGAGTTCTTGATTAGTTAAGTACCGTTTTTTCACATTTACTTCCATTTTGAAATAAGATTTATCAAAATAAAACAACAATAGCAGTATATAAATAGATATTTCCCAATCCGAATAAAAGAAAAAGAGATGTGGTTTTTTAAAGAAACCTGTTGACAACGTATATTCACAACCGTTCTTTAATCTCTTCTTGTAGCAGTGCTGGTGCTTCCTCGATGATAAGATAAACCTATAACAAAAATACAATAAAAAAAAGTATCATGTATTTTGGACAAATTACTGGAAAATTTACGTTTCTTCAGTAATTTCAGTACTCCAGTTTAGATAGTGTACAGTAGTAACTAGTGACTAGTAACTAGTAACTGTCGATTCATTCTAGAATAGGCTCTCGAATTTATTTATTATTAATTAAAGGCCGTAAGAGCAGCCGTGGAGTTGTGTGCCCATCCTGCTACTATCTTGTGACACTATACTATTATTGTGTCATGGTTGTCTAGGATAATAAACAAAAACTAGTAGTGAACAGTAACTAGTGTAAAGTAGTGAATGTTCAGCGATTACAAGCATACTGTAAGTGGATCATCATTAAATACTCGAATGTACAGCTTTCCTAGATTTATTTGCTTCAGTCCAAATGGTCCACGGTGTTTATCACTTTTTACAAGTAAATATTATCATTAAATTATTTTTCATATCCATGATTTGGAAACGGTAGTAACTTTTTGTTCAGCAGCATTTGAACTATATGATTACGCATAATTGGTACATTATATGGCATTTGGTTCTCTGGTTCTTTTTTATAACACAATAATGTTGCAAAATAGATTGAAAATGCTCCACAATCTATACCATTATTTTGTTCCTGTACTTTATGGAATATAAACCTTTTATTAAATCTGTACAAGGTATCTAAGTAATCTACTTGATCTTTTTCCAAGTAATTCTTATTTAAACTGTCGTAGATGTGTACGTTGCCATTACCGTCATATTTGTACAAATCCAGTGACCTACAATGTTGACACCAATATTACCGCTATAAATAATCTGAATATGATTTTCAGATCTAGGTATTGCTTGTAAATTATGTAAAAATGCACCTATGTATCCTACATCTTGAGCGAAACTATATACTCCGTGGGCAGTTAGTTTTCTATTCATTATTTCATGAAATAAATTGATATGTTTATCAGATAAATAAAATCTACAATGAGACACTTCTTGACATTCTGCGATTGGAATATCAAAAGCATATGGTACGTTATTATCATCTATATTGTCATAGATATTCTCAATATCGTTTGATACAATGTAATCATTACTAATTATGCTTTTAGTTTGCTTATCATCTATATCATCATTATCAATATCCATTGGAAATTCATTGATATTTTTATTATCACAGTCCATGCTAATATCGTTACTGATTGTCATTTCACTACAATTGTCATTTGTAATTGTGCTACTTACATTAGTGCTGTTAGAATTGTCAGTGGCATGCATAATAATATTATCATTATAAATAGCATATATTGGTTTATGATAGGTGAAATATGACTCATATACTCCACATTGTAAGTTATGAATATTAGAAAAAATGACATCAATTTGTGTATTCAATGATGTAGTAATACCATCTGGTAACAATTTCGATAATAATTGATATCGTTTTAAACAATTGATCAGGAAATTATTTTTTTTGTTATTATATTAATGATGTCATAATTAAAATCTCCCATTAATAGGATAAGACTATTGGAAGGCAATTTCGATTGTTTTTTTGAACATAATTGTTGCTTTAGGTGATTTGTAACCACTAATCAAATACTAATTTCCGACTTTTAATGCAAATAATTGCACATGTTCGTTACTACTATAAGAATATTTCAATTATAATACTGTAAACTGTACACCATTCTTCACATAGCATATTAGTCCATGATTATTTTTATCACGATCGATTATTAAAACAATATTGAAATTTTCAATGTTAACTCATCGCTTTTCACAGTCAAAGATTCGCTGAATACTAAGATATCCGCTCGCAAATACCATGTATCAGAAATTATATAACTTAAATTTTTTCGTAATGTACCGACATTTTGATACACTATTTTTGTTCCTATGACGGTCTCTAAGTTATCGTATGACAGTTTCAACGATTTGTTAGATCTCAGACGTTCTAATTCAACAAGCGCTGAATTTACAGCCTTTGAATTTTTAGAAACATTTGGTAATTTGAATTAACCAATTATAAATAGTCCACTTAATTTGGTGACACGGCTGAGGGCAACATACAACATCGATAAAGTTTGCCTCTCTTGAGCAGTAAAATCTAGACATATTTTAACATATGTTTGACCTTGACTTTTATGAATAGTTATTGCCTCTGCAGGTATAATAGGAAATTGATTTTTCAAAATTTTGTATTTATCATCTTGTGCCACACTAGTTTGTATCGATATTCTTTCTATTGGTGTTAAAACATTATCTATATTATTCTTCGTCATATAATCACGATGACGAGCTCGTATGTTAATGCCAACTCTTGGTGTATGAAAATCTAACCATAGTGTAGATGGTATGTTAGCATCTTTACATTCGATATATTTCAAAATACCACAAGCACCATTTACTAAACCGTCTTCTACATCGATATTCTTAATTATCATATATTTAATGTTAACTTTTAATTGAATAACATCAGGCAATTCAATTGCAATATTGTTTGCTTTTTTATTTATTGATCGTAATATAATTTTTTTTTCACCTTCGGTTATGTCTTTAGAGAAAACAACTTGAGCAGTTGAAGTAAATAATTTACTTTTACATTGAGAAATTCTCTGAGCATTATAAGATGATACATTCTTATTAGTAGCGTACAAGCGTATGGCCGTTTCTGGAATATCGTTAATATTTTTAATTTCTCGACATTTAATTAAATTTATGTCATCAGTTTTCATAGTTCCAAGAGCTAGATTATTTAGAGCATTGATAAATGCTCGATCATTTTTTTGACGCATAATTTCTGTTAATTCATAAAAGACAAATTGATCCCATAAAGGATTGATATCAATGAGTGGCGCCATTTGATTTTGGTTTGAAACTTGATAGACAGGTTTATCTTTTACAGGAGGCAATTGATTTAAGTCCCCGACTGCAAGTACTGATAAACCACCAAATGGCTCATTGACACCAGTTATTTGTCTTAATCTTGTATTTACATAACCTAGTACGGTAGAGCCTACCATTGAAATTCCATCTATAATGATGAGTTGTACCTGACATAATTGTTCTCGTATATTGTTGGCTAAATCACTTGATAGTTTCTGGTATATTCACACCATATAAATTACATGGTAATGCAAATGCAGAGTGCAATGTTATACCATTAATCAGAAAAGCAGCTTTACCAGATGGAGCGCATAATAGTACAATTATTTTATCATTATTTACACCTGGCAAATTATCAAAATAATTTGTTATTAATTGATATAATGTATTTATGACCGTACTTTGACGACACAGCTGAGCCACTTAGAAATATTGAAATGGAGTCTTACCAATCTTGTAACAGTGTAAGATGCATTGCCACTATGTTTCGTAGTTAGATTTTTCATCATAATTGTAAAGGTCTGCTGTGGGTACTCGAGAGGGCATTGTGTATCGTATTTTGTT